GTCATTTTGGGAGCTCCGTTTTCCAAAAACTGAAGGGGGACACTGCTTGCGATTTGTCCTTTTGGGAGCTCAGTTTTCCGAACACTTACTTGCGATTTGTCATTTTGAAAGTTCGGTTTTCCAAAAAATTAAGGGGGCACACTGCTTGCGATTTGTCATTTTGGGAGCTCAGTTTTCCAGAAACTTAAGGGGGGCACGCTTGCGATTTGTCATTTTGGGAGCTCGGTTTTCCAAAAACTTAGAGGGGGACACTGCTTGCGATTTGTCATTTTGGAAGCTCTGTTTCCAAAACTTCAGGGGGACAATGCTTGCGACTTCTCATCTTGGGAGCTCAGTTTTCCAAACGCTTAAAGGGGAGTCTGCTTGCGATTTGTCATTTTGGAAGCCCTGTTTTCCAAAACTTCAGGGGTAACAATGCTTGCGATTTGTCATTTTGGGAGCCCAGTTTTCCAAAAACTTAAGAGGGACACTGCTTGCGATTTATCGTTTTGGGAGCTCAGTTTTCCAAACGCTTACGGGGGACACTGCTTGCGATTTGTCATTTCGGGAGCTCAGTTTTCCAAAAACTTAAGGGTGACTTAAATTCCAGCCCCCCCCTGCCCAAGGCCGTCCCCAGGAAGAACAAGAAGAAGAGAAGAGAAGAGAAGGAGAAGGAGAAGGAGAAGGAGAAGGAGAAGGAGAAGGAGAAGGGGAAGGAGAAGGAGAAGGAGAAGGAGAAGGAGAAGGAGAAGGGAAGAGAAGGAGAAGGAGAAGGAGAAGGAGAAGGAGAAGGAGAAGGAGAAGGAGAAGGAGAAGGAGAAGGAGAAGGAGAAGGAGAAGAAGAAGAAGAAGAAGAAGAAGAAGAAGAAGAAGAAGAAGAAGAAGAAGAAGAAGAAGAAGAAGAAGAAGAAGAAGAAGAAGGAGAAGAAGAAGGAGAAGGAGAAGGAGAAGGAGAAGGAGAAGGAGAAGGAGAAGGAGAAGGAGAAGGAGAAGGAGAAGGAGAAGGAGAAGGAGAAGGAGAAGGAGAAGGAGAATGAGAAGGAGAAGGAGAAGGAGAAGGAGAAGGAGAAGGAGAAGGAGAAGGAGAAGGAGAAGGAGAAGGAGAAGGAGAAGGAGAAGGAGAAGGAGAAGGAGAAGGAGAAGGAGAAGGAGAAGGAGAAGGAGAAGGAGAAGGAGAAGGAGAAGGAGAAGGGGAAGGAGAAGGAGAAGGAGAAGGAGAAGGAGAAGGAGAAGGAGAAGGAGAAGGGAAGAGAAGAGAAGAGAAGGAGAAGGGAAGAGAAGAGAAGAGAAGGGCAGAGAAAAGAGAGAGAGAGAGAGAGAGCGCAGAGAAGCGGGAGGAAATTGTAGTGAGATGGATTTGTGTCCTTACACAAACATTCAAAGAAGAGAAAGAAGAGAGGCGAGGGTGGATGAAGGTAGTGAGATTGAATAGTGGCGCCTCTCAGAATTTGTTGTTTATTCCTTCTTTCTTTCTTCCTCCCAAAGACCAGAAAGGGATGAGAGGAGAGTTACGACAATTGAAATGTTCTTTGTCCTTCTCCTTGATAAGAAAGAAGAAAAAACACTTTTGTTCATTCCTTGGTGTTTTCCTCTTGTTGTCTGTTCCTTCTCGCTGAATGAGTCTGTTGAAAGAACACGCACAAATGAACAGGGGAGCCGTTTTGTCCTATCTGAACAGAACTGTTGGAACTCAGGGGGGGTGGATTGCAGACAAACTGGAGGGAACAGGGGAACTCAGCCCTGCGAGGGGCCACTTTTTGCAACATAACTGCCCCCCACGTGCACACGCGCAGCCCCAAATCTGACTTCGCGAGACTGTTTGCAATTCTCTCCTCCATAAGAAAAGCAAAGAGCAGAGAAAAAGCGAGAAGAGATGTGAGCGAGGACGAAGGTAACGAGATGATCTTGGGTTCTTGGACATTCATCTTTGTTTCCGGCAAGAACAGAGCCAGAGAAGAGAGATAAGAGAGCAAGATAAGAGAGCAGAGGAGAGGATGGATGAAGGCAGTGAGAATGAATCAGGGCGCCTCCCCCTTATTTTTTGGTTTATTTTCTTCCTCATTTCTTCTCCGACAGGCAAGAAAGGGAAGAGAGGAGAGATGAGGAGAGTGTGTAAATAGAAGAGTGACATGTTTTCATGTTTACCTCTTCCTTGTTCTTCTCCTGTTATCCGACTCCTTTTCTCCTGAAAGAACCGTACGTTAGTTAAAGGTTTGTTGCTTTCCTCTTGTTGTCTGTTCCTTTCTCGCTGAATGGGAAGGTTTGTTGCTTTCCTCTTGTTGTCTGTTCCTTTCTCGCTGAATGGGAAGATCAAAAGAACATGCTGGACAGGGGCACAGGGGAACCGTCTTCGTCCTTGTATATACCCCCTTCTTTCTCCTCAACCGAAGGAACGGAAAAGTTGGAACGCAGGGGAAAGATTAAAGAAGGCAAAAGGAAGGGAACAGGGGAACTCATCCCTGTCCTAGGGGGAGAATGGGCCTCCCTTACGCAACAAACAAGTACTTGCTTCTCCTTTTTCCCGTCCATGTGCTTCGCTCATCTAGTGTTATGCATTCTCTCCTCCATAGAGAGCAGAGAGAAGAGGGAGGATGAATGTGGTGACATTGGTTTGTGCTGTTAAATCTTCATTCTGTAACAAAAGAACCACATGGAGGATGAATGCAGTGAGACTGAGTAAGGGCGCTTATCTTTATCCCTTCCTTGTGTGTTTCTTGTACATTTTGCTCGTGGCTTCCTCTTTCTTTTGAGATTGGCTTGTGTTCTCAAATCTTCATTCTGCAAGAAGAGCATCACTTATTCCTTCCTCGTGTTTTTCTTGTACATTCTGCTCGCGGCTTCCTCTTTCTTTTTCTTGTTGTTATCTAGCTTGCTTAAACACTCTTGTTGGTTCCTTGTTTTTCCCCTGTTGTCTGTTCCTTTCTCGCTGAATGGGAAGATCAAGAAAACATGCTGGACAGGGGAGACGTCGTCGTCCTTGTATACACCCTTCTTTCTCCGTAAACGAAGGAACGGACGAGTTGGAATGCAGGGGAGAGATTAAAGAAGGCAAGAGGAAGGGAACAGGGGAACTCATCCCTGCCCTAGGGGGAGAGTGGGCCTCCTGATGCAACAAACAACTAACTACTTGCTTCTCTCTCATCTTCCCGTCCATGTGCTTCGCTCATCTAGTGTTATGCATTCTCTCTCGCGCAAGAAAATCAAGAAGAGACACAAGCTAGAAGGGAGAGAGCAGAGAGAAGAAGTAGGATAAGAAGAGAACCACAGAAGAGAAAGAAGAGAGGATTAGAGGATGAGTGCAGTGAGACTGAGTGTGGGCACTTCTCTTTGCGATGGGTTTTCATTCCTCGTGTTTTCCTTGTACATTCTGCTCGTGGTTTCCTCGTCCTTGTTCTTGTTGTTCACTTTATCTAGCTTGCTTAAACACTCTTGCTAACACCTGTAGATAAAATGAACATGCATAAGTGGACAGTGGAACCGTCTTCGTCCTTCTTCTTTACCCCTTCTTTCTCCTTAAAAGACGGAACAGAACAGTTGGAGCTCAGGGGAGGGACTAAAGAAGGCAAAGGAAGGGAACAGGGGAACTCGTTCCTGCTCTACGGGGAGTGGGCCTCCCCTATGCAACAAACAACTACCTGCTTCTCGCTCTTCCCGTCCATGCGCTTCGCTCATCTAGTGTTATGCATTCTCTCCTCCATAAGCAAAACAAGAGACAAAAGCTAGAAGTGAGAGAGCAGACAGAAGAGGGAGGATGAATGGGTTGAGATTGACATGTGTTCTTTATATGTAGCCATTATTCTCCTCGGTAAGAAGAGCCAAGAGAGAGAGAGAGAGAGAGAGAGAGAGAGAGAGAGAGAGAGAGAGAGAGGGAGAGAGAGAGAGCGCGAGAGAGAGAGAGAGAGAGAGAGAGAGTGAGACAGAGAGAGAGCGAAAAGAGGAGACGGTGGATGAAGGTAGTGAGACTGACTTTTTCTTTGATGATTCCTTCCACTTTCCTTTTCTTCTACCCAAAGTCAAGAAAGGGAAGAGAGGAGAGGGTGTAAAGTGAATAGTGACTGAATGTAAAGAGTTCTATGGTTCCTTGATCTTCTCCTGTTCCGACCCCTTTTTCTCCTCGACAACGGGAAGGGGTCATACACCCTGGACTGTTCGTACAATCCTTTTATAACCGTTGAATGCACAACCCTAGACCATGAACCCAAAAGACAT